TTTGTTTGTTTTGTTTTAATATACCAATTAACCTAGCATCTCTCTGTCTAGAATTAGAAAATATGCACTTCATTTTTGTGACATATCTTAGGTATGTATGTGTACATAGAGTATATACACATATAATCTACATTATTCTCTTTTGACATTGTAAACAGAAATTCCCTTGTTCTTGTGTATGAGATGACGTGTTTTCTTTATCTCCACATAAACATGATTTTAAATATAATTTAAAAACTTTTTTCTAGTTCTATTTTGTTCAGAGTATCTCCATTCTAGTTTTGACAGACTCAAATGGAGAACTTTCTTTTTCTTTTCTTTTTTTTTTTTGCCATTGAAACATGGTTTGTTACTACATTGTTTTTAAAACATAGGATGATGACAATATCATTGTGTCAAATTACAACCTTTATTATATAGCTGAAAAATGAATCTCATCTAAAATAGTTTTTCTTCTCATTTGGCCTTAAGAATATTGAAGCTGACAACAAAACCATAACTTTAGAATCAGTGAAACCTTAAGATAAAGCTTCCCTTCATTTTACAGGCTGAGAAAAATATTGGTTATTTTCTGATCAAGTTACATGAAACAATATGAACATATAAATACCAAATGCTGGGCTAAAAACTTTAGATTTAGTTTGACCATAAAAAAGTAGGATTGAAATAGGGAGAAGAGAAGTTGGGGTTGTAGCTCAGTGGTAGAGCACTTGTCTAGCATGTGTGAGGCACTGGGTTTGATTCTTAACATTACATACAAGTAAACAAAATAAAAGTCCATCAACAACTAAAAAATATTTTTTTAAAAAAAATAGGGAGAAGAGTGAAATATGGACATGACTTTGTACTTGTCAGGTTCCTTATTATTTCCTTCAGGATTATTCCTATGTTATAATGACAAAATGAACAGTACAACTGATATTTTCTTCATGTTCTGTTTTAAGCACTACAAAGGTTTTCTGGCTTTAGTTCTCAAAACCACCATAAGAAGTGCAATTACCATTAGTTACATTTTTTAGATGATGAATACTTACAGAAGTTTAGTAACTTTCCCAAGGATACACAGTAGCAAGAAGCATAACTAGGAATGTAAACATAGACAGGTTGAAAATAGAACATACTTTGGCTGAAGACACCAGAATGATAAATGGGTTCAAATCTTGTTGTGAGTTGAAAAAAATTCACTAAAACCAATGTTTTAATTAGAGGAGGTGATTGAAGATGATAGATTTAAACTGTCAAATATTAAGTCTGATGTGGAGAAATTTCTTCATGGAACTAAAATGTAGAGTAAGTTGCAAAAGCTTATCTTTGCTTCATTAAGTGTCCTATCTTTCCTGTGTCAGAACTTTGTGAAGACAGCATGGCTTTTCTTAGGGTTAAAAATGCCCTCATATCAGGTCATCAACCAAGCCCTTAACAGAATTCCCCCCCCCCAAAAAAAAGCCTTCATAATTTATTATCTGAGAATAAATTTAGAAAAATTAAAAATAATAATTTATTATCTAAGCAGAGACTGATGTTTGGAAGGCTTGTTGAAAGGAATTATGGCATAGATTAATCCACTGGAAAATGAACCAGATAATCTTTGAGGCCCTCTGCCAATCCTGCAATCCCTGTCCCTCCCCTATTAATTAATACTTAGAGACTTGATTAAAGATTCCATACAGAAATAGTATCACTTATTATAAATTATTCATTACACTGTCAGTTCTAGACTTGCATAGTCCTTGTTTGATTGGAGGAATAAAGATTAGCTGCTAGAGCTTCTACCAACTTCAGACCCACTTTCATACTGAACAGAATACTTAGGGAAGAAATCTTTTAACTCCTAGTTAACTTAGTTTTTACTCTGACAGTGTTGCCCCTTGGGATATATAATATTTAATTACTCTTATGTTCCTATAGCATATTAAGTTCTCAAACTTGAACATGCATTAGAACCACTGATTTTAAAAGTATATTAATAGGCTTCATTGCCAGAATTTCTGACTCAAGTATGAAAAGGAGCCCCATATATGCCTTTCTAACACATATCCAGTTGGTGTTGATGCTGCTGGTCTGTAGACCATACTTTGAGAACCACTGCTATAGCACTTTGATCTATCTTAATAGATTGAATTTTTTAAGAGCAGGATTAGATGTTACTTGGGTTTTTTTTTTGTTGTTGGTTGGTTGGTTGTTTGTTTTTTGTCCCTCTACTACCTAATAATATATAAAGGCAAAAGTTCTTAATTTTACAGAAACCACTGTGGACTGTCTTTGGCCTGATGATATCAATAAATTAGGCCTAAAATTGAAGACCCTTCTAAAACTATAGAAGGAAATAAAGCCAAGTTCTTCTAGAATACTTTTACACAATCTTTTACATATAAATTTCTGGACTTTTGGTTTTATTTTTAAACATTACTAGAAAGCTAGCCATGTTGAAGAACTAGAATTTTCTCTTCCTGAGTAAGTTAAGGCTGTTGGAGCATGCTAGGCTCTGTTTTTTTATTATGCAGAAGGCAAATGACAGAACTCAATGACTTGGTTCCAATATCAGGAAGAGGCCAACATCTAAGCCTATTAAGATAATTCTTAAACTTGGATTAAAAAATGTGAAGCAAGAGTTTGTGTTTACCACTCTCACACCTCCTACTCTCCAGCTAATAATATCTTCCTAAGATTTTAATAAGAATTGTTTTGCTGTGGTAATTAAAATCATGACTGGATGTCATTTAAGTGTCATTAAGAAGAATACATACTCTCATTCATAATATTCAGTTTATAATGGTAATATTTGACTAAATAGATGTTACATAAATAGTAACATAGCCCCCTCAAAGTAGATACGATAGTGGTTGGTTGGCATACTGTAAGCCATGAAGACACCTGCATCTTCAAGGTGTAACAAGGCTGAGGAGTGAGGGTTCATGCTCACACTTAAGAAACCAGCCTGTAGGTATGTATCACAGTACAGGTGAGAGGTCATCAAAATATGCCCTCTATTTAAAGATGTTGCAACCTGTGTTACTTATTCTCCTAGACTATCAACTCTTAAGTTTTTCTAATTGTTGCAAATTGTTTAGTCATCTTTGGTGATTATCATAGGCTGTGTTCTGTGTTTTTTTTTCCCCCTCTTTCTCCTCAGGTACCCAGAAAGTGGTACTCTAGAAATGAACGTCCAGAATCTTCGGCCACGAGCTAGAACTATTTTGAAATGGAACGAACTAAACGTTGGTGATGTAGTAATGGTTAATTACAATGTAGAAAATCCAGGAAAAAGAGGATTTTGGTATGATGCAGAAATTACCACATTGAAGACAATCTCAAGGACCAAAAAAGAACTTCGTGTGAAAATCTTCCTAGGGTAAGATTCTCTTCACATGCTACTTAGTTACTGAATTAAGGAATGTAAATTTTAGGTATAAAGCACATGTTCCTTGTTTTTTTTTAAAGGTATAATTTATGAAAGATGGAAATTTCCTTACTATAAGAGAATATCTTGAGAATTTTTATTAAGAATGTCTTAAATCACTATCTCCATTTTAAGGTTAGAGATATTTGGAGGAATGATGGACATAACTGAGTATCTCATTAGAAAAATCCTTACTTATACACAAGATTCTTATAAATGAAACAAAATATACAAAAGCATCTTAATAGCTAAGATGATATAATAACAATAGATGACTACCTAATAGGTATCTGCTAGACTTCCAACACTAACCAGAATTTTCCTTCAATTTAAGGAATTTAGCCAACTTAATGAAGAGAATTCAAAATACAAAAAGTTACCTAAAATACCAAACCACTCAGATATTTGCATCATTAATTCTGTAAGAAATACTTTAAAGGTTTACCTCGTCACATAATGAAGCACTCTGCATTGTTTCAGATAACCACAAATAAAATATATTAACTGTTTCCAGTGCTTTACCACAAATAATGTTTAAGCATCCTTCTATATTCATTTTTTAAAACATATTTTTTTGGTTGTAGGTGGACACAATACCTTTATTTTATTTAATTTTAAGTGGTGCTGAGGATTAAAACCCTGTGCCTCATACATGCTAGGCAAGTGTTCTAACACTGAGCCACAACTGTAGTCCCTTCTATGTTCATTTTTATGCAGTTCTTTTCTTGATAATGAATTCTTCAATTTGTTGTATTGAGCATTGAGTATTTTAGAATGGCACTGACAGTTTTCTTACATAAGGAAAAAAAATAAACATGTTTTTGTCAAGTTCTAGTTAACTGGTTAGTAAGTTAAGGTGACAAATCTGGGAGCAAACATCTGCTTATGACTAAAAATGTTCAGCAAGGGTAAGTAAACTGTAGCCCACTAACTGCCTGCTTTTGTAAATAAAGTTCTGTTGGAACCCAGCAATGCCCATTGATTTATGTATTATCTCTGGCTGGTTCATGCAAAACAGCATTGTTGAATAGTTTCAACTGAGAGCATCTGAGCTTAGACTGTCTGGCCTTTTATATAAAAACTTTGCTGATTCCCGAGATAAGGAAGAAGAATGTTAGGATGTGTTAAAAAAGCTTATATTTTATTATTTGTGATGCTAAGGATCAAAGCGGTTTTCATTGAAAACAGATTTCAGAAGTTTCTACAGAAACATAAGAGTGATGAAGTATTTAATTCAGTTACAGAATTCTAAACAACTTTAAATTCTTATATGGACATGAATCATTAAGAAGGAGAAACCACCTAAATAAATCAGCTGTGTTGGGAACCTTATAATGTACTTGAAAGTAGGATATTTTAAAAAGCATGTGTATACAAAGGAGGAGATAACAAAACTCAAAGCACTGAACTGAAAAACAAAACTGAGTATTAAAAATGTATCTCCAAATGATTCTGGGGGAATACTGTGGCTTTGGAGACTAGATCTACATTTTGGTGGAAACGATGGAAAGGCAAATACTAGCTTAATACAATGATTGGGATAACTATTCCAACAGTAAAAAACATGATCCTGTAAATTATTATTTTCCCATCATACAAGTTTTTACTGAAAGTGTTAGAAACATAAGAGCCAAAAAAGTAGACAGTGTGGCTTGTGTGTGGGATTTTTTTTTTTTTCATGAAACATCTTTTCCCTTCACAGGTAAGAATGGATAAATAATTAGCATGAAAATATAAAGCATTCTGTTGTTGATAATTTAGGCTTGTTACAAGTGTGCTGCCATGACATTCTTGAACCTGTGTCATTGTGCATATGTGCATTATTTACTCTAGGATGCAACATGCTAGAAGTAGTATTGTTGGATTATAGAACCTGTGCATCTTTAGTAAATAGAACCAAATATTTAAGTGACTATGTCAGGTTACAGTTTTGCACCAGTATGAGAGTTTCCATTGTGCTGCATTCATATTAACACTTAATTTTGTCAAACTTCAGTTTCTGCTAATTAAGTGAGTGTACAGTAAAATAGTATCTCTTTGTGGCTTTAGTTCACATTTCATTAGCTAATGGAGTTTTGTTTGTGTATTGGCAGTTTGGATATCTTTTTTGACCATCCAGCTCCAAAACTTGTTGGATTTCTTTGTTGCTAGATAGTCTGTTTTGGTTTTTAGGAATTCCAGGTGTGGATACTAGATCATTTCAGTTTATGTGACAAAAATATTCTTTTCAACTCTGACTTTTTTCTCCTTATAATGTTTGAATAGTAATTTTCTCAATTTTAATGTACTTGAGGTTTCAAAAATCAAGAAAATTTGTCCTTATGCTTTACTCTCTGTATCTTGCGTAAGAAACTTCCATTCCCAGAGATCATAAAGTTGCTATTTTATTACCCATGTCATCCTACTTTGTTCTTCAGGTAGGTCTTAAATGTTCTTAGCTCTGTGTACTTGGAGTTTGAATTTTCCAGTCATCTTTTCTTTTACTGGTTTATAGGACTACAAATAAGATTAAAATTTACACGTAGATTGTTTTGAAATGTTTATGATTATAATCATTGAATTATGACATTTTGATTTGTCCTTTATTTGGTTTCTTCCTCATCCTATTTAGTAGTGGGCCCTTCAGTACATAACATCTTTTTTTTCCTTATTACCAAAAGAATTTTTAAAATTTCATCAGAAATCATAGTGTTTGATTTTAGTTTTTTTTGTTGTTGTTGTTTTGTTTTTGTTTTAAAGACAAGCTTTCCTAGATTTGGTTTCACAATATCTGGAGTAAGATTTTACATTTGTATTAAGTAAATTTGCATATAAATTTTTCTAACTCATCTGTATGGATTATGGTAGTTCATAAAATAATGTGGAATATACCTTTTTTGTTTTGTAGTATATTTTGCATTCTTCAGTATTGAGTAGAACTCTTCAATAAAGTCCTAGGGCTGAGTTTTCTTTGGGGAAGGTTTTTGTGATTAATCCAATTTCTGTAATGATTATAGGACCACTCATATTTTTTGTTCTTGAACTAGAATTTAATTTTCTGATAATCTGTATCTGAATTTTAAAATTTGTTAGCGACATGTTTTTAATATGTGCAGTATCTCTTGTAATATTTCTTTTTTATCCCTGAAAAATTAGTTTGCGTCTTTTTGAGTGAGATTGATCAATTTTGTTAGACTTTTGCAAAGATTAACCTTCAGCTTTAATCCCCTCTTTTGTATTGAAGGTATAAAGAAAGAAACAAATACAGGACATGATTTTTAATCTGTTTTGGAGATTTGATAAGGGAACTTGGAATTTGTTCATGCTTGTTTCTGTTTTTAATTTGTGAGTATCAAAAAGTGAATATACTTGAACTGTCTAATTCTAGTTAACAAATTGTATTTTTAAGTTGTTTTCTGTTTTTATTTTAATTCTGGAGAAAATTCACAACACATTTTGTGGTTTAAATAATATTTACAAAATAATTTGTTTACTATTATTGTAATATGTAGAGTATTAAATACCACATAAAATTGTAATAGTTAAATGTTCACAAATAAAGCAGTAGTCGTATCGTATAGCAAGAAAATGTATTCAGTCTTACTAAAACTGTAGCTATACTTGTTTTCAGACATTATTATAAGATTTATTACATTAAACTATGTACTAAATTTTTTCATATCTATTTATCACAGAATTTCTTAAGTAATATTATCATCAATGAATGTTCTTACAGAATATGTATTTTATGTCCATATGAAGGTATCAAGTCAAAGTTCATTGTACCCTAGCATGCTGCCCTCCAAGAGTTGCTTAATCATGTAAACATGCCCACACCTCAGGACTTTGTCTTATTGTCTTCCTGGGCTGCTCATTGTATTTCAAATCTCTGCTTAAATATTACTTCAGAGTGGTCTTCTAGATTCCCTATGTATCAGTCCTGGATTACTTCAATTCTCCTTTTTTTTTTTTTAATGGTATTTATTATCACCAGACATTTATTTGTCTCTTATATCATTTGTGTTAGTTTCTTTTGGTGCTGTATCAAATTACCACAAATTTCATGGCATATACAATACAACTTAGTTCTAGAGGTTGGCATTCTTGAGTTGGCATTCCACAGGGCAAAAATCAAAGTGTCACCAAGAATTTACTCATTTTTGGAGATACTAAAGGAGAATCTGGTTAGGGTTTTGGGTGTTTTGTTTTGTTTTCCCTTTTTTTTCTAGCTTTATAGGCCTCCTGTGTTCCTTGGCCTATGATCTGCTTTCTCCATCTTCAAAGACAGCCACTTCCTGCCCATTATTTTGTAGTCAAATTTCCTTTAGAGCTCTTATACTTCCTTTTCCCCTTCTACTTTTAAGACCCCTTGTGATTATATTGCGCCTATCTGGATAATCTCATTTCATGGCCCTTAATTATACCTGCAAAGTCCTTTTGCCAAGTAAGGTAACATTCATAGCTTCCTGGGACTAGAACAAGGACTCCTTTGGGGCCCATATTTTGTCTGTCCTGTGTACCATCAATGCCTTTATTATTATTTTTTTACTTTTTGGCTGCTGTGTGTCAGGCCCTGTTCTAAGGACTTGTTACAATGGATTCTCAATAAATACAGAATTTCATAGATTCTGAGAAGAGTTTTTTCCCCATATTTTAATATCTCTGAAATCAAATTTTATCTTAAAATGGGTATTGAACTGACCAAATTGAATTTTTATAGAGATTTGAGTTTGCTTCTACTAGTCCTTTGGCAGTGCCTTTTAACTTCAATTTAAATTCTCTGCTTGAATTTTTTTAGATAACACAGGATGAATTCAGACCTTTGAAACTTTATGGATCCTAGACTTGGTTCAATCCTTGGAGGATGCTTTTTTCTCCATATACTTAGTAGTAATATTAATACTTTCTTCATCTTCAAGGTAGTTTATTTCCCATTTATCTTTTTTTTACATGTAGTCTTTAAAAGAAAAAAA